AGTCATAAGAATAAGGAAATACATGATAATCATTGAAAGAAAGGAAGGCAGCAGTTACAGGAAAAATAAAAAAACACATATATATATATATATATATATATATAGACAAAATATGATAAATCATAATAACCAATGGAACAAGAAAAACAGTTAGTTAAACTAAATGTGTAATAAATATCACAGTGAGACAGAAGCTAAAGTTATAGTGAGATAAGGGTCGTGAACTTTGTATGAAGATGTTGCAGTGAGCTTGTATTAAGTGTAACCCAAGAGTGAGCTTGTATTAAGTGTAACCCAAGCAAATGTTACATTAGGATCGACCGAGAGATTATATGAAGATGTTGCAGTGAGCTTGTATTAAGTGTAACCCAAGAGTGAGCTTGTATTAAGTGTAACCCAAGAGTGAGCTTGTATTAAGTGTAACCCAAGCAAATGTTGCAGTGAGCTTGTATTAAGTGTAAGCCAAGAGTGAGTTTGTATTAAGTGTAACCCAAGAGTGAGCTTGTATTAAGTGTAACCCAAGAGTGAGCTTGTATTAAGTGTAACCCAAGAGTGAGCGTGTATTAAGTGTAACCCAAGAGTGAGCTTGTATTAAGTGTAACCCAAGCAAATGTTACATTAGGATCGACAGAGAGATTAAATCAATCAATTACAATTGACTGATGCCACGGCTATAGTCAAGTTAAATGGGTGGTTACCGTTTGGTGTTTTCAGAGATTTTATTAGGGCTAGATCAACGGTTAGACAGTGTTTAACCTAGTTTGTACAGAGGAGGTATATCAGGAATTAGATCATGTAGCTACAGCTGGATGTTATCAAAGGTTTTAATAAGTTTAAATAAAGTGTTTTTGAGTTGGTTAGAGTAGGGTTAGGCCTAAAGACTACAATGAGGTTAAATCAAAGTTTCAGAGTAGTGTTAGGTCTAGTTGGTACAGTGGAGTTAGGTTAACACTTATAAAACGTTTATATGAAATAAATAAAGTTGGGAATGACTTTCAGTAGTGTTAAATAAAATTAATGCTTGATATGGTTTGTTTGTTGTTAAGTTCAAAGCTACATTACGGATTATCTGTGCTCAGTCTGTCGTAAGTCTGCAGAATTACCGCTGAACCACTGGGGGAGTATGAGGGCAATTAATTGTTATCAGAGACTACAGTAGAGTAGGGTCAAATGGGTGGATACAGTTTGGTTTTCAGAAGTTATAGTAAGATTATATCTAGTTAATGTGGTGTGGAGTGGTCATATAATTTCAGGGTTATAAGGATTTTGGTTCAATACTTATACTGTGTTCTGTTCAAGAATTAGATCAAGTGGTACAGTGGGATTAGATAAACTTTAGTAAGGTTAAAGTTAGAGTAAGGGTTTTAATGAAGTTCGGAAACGTGACTACTCCATTCAAGGAGTTGATGACAGTGGTATCACCATTAAACCTAAAACTGCTGTAATGTTACATCAAAGATTGTTGCGGAATAAATCAAGGATTTTAGACGTATTAGATCAAGGTTACAATGGGTTTAAGTTGAAGATTATAGTCACTTTATAGAAGAAATGTTAGTGTGAGATTAGGTAAAATGATTATAATGAACTTTTACCAAGAGTTATATTGAAATTGGACCAAACCAAATGTAGGATAACGGTTATAGTTGGGTTTATCAAGCATTACAGTAAATTTTCATTATAGAGTTAAATGCAGAATTATAACCTGCTTAGATAAAGGGTAATGATGTGGTCATTGTAACGCTAGTCTAAGAGTATAGGAGTGTAGTCGGGCAGATAAAAGTCAAGAGTTCAAATAGATTGATATCTACGTTAATAGTTGGGTTAGAGTAGTAGTTAAAGTTGGATTATTGTGAAATTAGATTCAGCATTATAGTAGGTTAGATAATTAGCAGTGGTGGGGTTAGTGTGAGCGCTACAGTAAGGACAGCGGAAGATCTGTAACGTATTACAGTGGTAATACACAAAAAGTTATAGTTTTGTTAGAACAAGGGTTAAATTAAAATTAGATGAATAATTATACTAAAATTAGATAAAGAATAAGGTTAGTTTGAGAAGTATAGCAAGATTATGTCAAGCGTTATAATAGGTTAGGTCAACAGTTATGTTAGAGTTTGATCAAGGGTTATAGTGATCCCAAAATACAATGGGATTAGATGAAAAGCTACAAGAGAGGTTATATCAAGGATATGATTTTCCTTTGCTAGTCTTCAGTTTACATTATGCTTCAGGTTTCATCATGTTTTGCAGTTTTGTATAACATAATAATGTAAACTATGTTTTTAGATATGGCACATTTGCCCAGGTGGATTTCTTGAGCATCGCCACAGCTTTATGTGTCCAAACGGTACTATCTACAACGAACTCAGGGGAGTTTGTGACTGGTGGTATAACGCACAGTGTGACAAATCTGTCAGTCGCTTTGAACGAGATGTGAACTTTGTACTGTCCGAAAACATTCTGACTAATCGCCATGAAGATGAGGAAACCCCGATGTTGGAGCAAACAGCCTACATCCAAAATGTCGCCTAAGAAACTTGTAAGAACTAACCCACAACCTTACACCTAACGTCTTGGAGTAGTAATACAATAATAATTTTGTATGAAACTGACTGGCTATCCTACTCAAAGGTGTTAAGACCCTCCAATAGAATGTCAAAGCTCTCCCTAAAGGCTAGTGTCAGTGACTAAGACCGAGAAAAAAGGATTATGAAATGCGTTTTTGATGGAGAGATGAATACTGAAGGATTGTATATATTCTTGTATATTTCACCTCAAAGTTTAATCTTAATATTTTATCACACATTAAAACATTTTCCATTAATATTCTGAAGTAATTTCAAGGTCAGTTTTCTATCCATTTGATTCAACATTACAAACACGTTATGGGTTTATTTTAGTTTTCTTTATAATTCTGTGTAAATTGATTGCAGAAGTTCATATCACCAATAAAGTTTCCTTCATTATACAATATATCCCGAATTTATCAACTAGTGCAAGTTGAATGATATGTCTCACCATTGCGTTTAAAACTGATTCCTAAAATCAAAAGAAATTACCATGCTCAGGTGTCACAATAAATATTCACATATGTATTTCTGGTAGTTAGATGATAGAATTATAAAGAGCACTGATTGCCCTTTATAAGAATGGTCTGTTAATTGAATGGCTTATTGTCGCAGACATGATTTGTTGCACCAATAACGACATAATTAACACGCTGATGTTGTTTTAGCGCAAAACTACACAATGGGCTATGTTCGCTCTTTCTACCGCGGGGACTCGAACCACGGATTTTAGCACTGTAAGTTCGTAACTTTAGTGCTGATTCAGCAAGGGACCATAATTAACGCCGAAATATTTGGTTTATGGTAAATTCCCGACCATTGGCGAGTGCAATGCTGTTCTTGTTAGACTCATAGTTGAAGGATTTATCACATTTTGAAAAAGGAATCCTTCAGTGAAACCCATGGAAGCGGGAAGCTTTGCAGAAGTGTTTGGTACCCAAATCAATCTTCAGCAATTCTCTCAACTCAATAGAGAAGGCGCTGACCTAAAAGCTTCTGCAACGACTGAGTATACCTACTCATATCTTAACAAAATAATAAACAAGAATTTGAAGTTTGTGAAGGCTCATAACTCTTTATTGTAGTAACGGTTTCTTTCGTTAGACGGGTTCCTTTTTATCATCCAGTAAAAATAATGCAAAAATTCAGTTATTTTTTTGTAACCAGTTATTTATTTTCATTGTAATATACATGCCTTACAGGATACGTTCGTTGAAAGGCCTAACTTACAAATAAAAGTTAACAGTGACTTACTTATTAATTATCTACTCGTACTTACAGCACAAACAGAACAAAAAAGTAGAACACTAAATTGACTAGCTAATTAACTCACTGGCTGACTCACTAACTTGGTAATTGATCGACAACGCGGCAACAGATTCACTAACTGACTAATTGTCTTGATTGAATAACTAGTTCGCTTCTAAGTAACTCATTAAGTCACTAAGTGACGGGGTCTGGCATGGCCTAGTGGTTAGGGTACTTAACTCTCAATGTGTAGGTAACGGATAGGGGGTCGTCAGTGATTGGAGATCAGAAGGTTTGAGGAAGGAATCCTTTGAGTCCGAGAGGTCATGTGACGCCATAGATCTACAAAGTGGGACCAGAGGGCAGACAGTTTCGAAACGTGCCACTTGGAGTGGATAATTTAAAAGTATACCACTACTGCTACTGTAACACTTGGGTCTATCGACCCCTGGCAGCTCTCACGAAGTCTCTCCATCTCTCCCTGTCTGTGCAACCTCTGACCATTCTTCATTTTCTATACCAACATGAAAGGCGTCTTCTGCAACATTATCACGCCATCTTTTTTCTCGTTATTCCTAATGGTCACCTATCTAGTTGTCTTCCAAACATAGTAATATTGGACAGTCTATTGTCTTCCATTCTGGCAGCATGCCAAGCCCATTTACTTCTTTTTGCTTTTACGATATTTGTAATAAGAGTTAAACCACCGACATCTACCAACTCTTGATAATGTCGTCTTCTCCATCTTTTCTCATCTGTATCATACATTGATCCTAAACTTAGTTATGGAACCGTATTCTCAAAATATGGACTTTCTTTCTAAATATGTTTTCAGTAAACATGCTTCATATCCATATGGGACAAGTATTTTTATAACGTTGTTGCATATTTTAATTTTTTTCCTCACTTATGGTTAATCCCATCTTCTTGTTCAAAGAGAATACTAATTCTGTAATCCCTTCTTCACTATCAGCCATAATGTTTCATCACCTGCATAGCCAACTAGATTTATAATTCGATTTTGTTATCCCCTCTCAGGCTTTCTCTCTGATGCTTTTGCAAAATTTGTATTGTTACAGGAGGCATACCTGCCTTAAGCCATTCCCCACCTTGAAAGAATCGGTTTGATTGTTTCTCACCTGAAGTAAACACTCGTTCCCCTTATAACAAGCTTTAAACATTTTTATTATTTTATCTGGAGTTCCAAACTCTTTCATGATCTTCCACAGAGTTGACTTGCTTGAAATCGATTGATAAATAGATGCTAATGTACCTTATCGTATTCCAACATTTTCTCAAAAAATCTGTCTCATCACAAAAATTTGTTCCATAGTTGATTTCTTGGCCTAGAATTCTGTTTGATAATCCACGATAATTTCACCATTGTATTCCTTGAGCATTTTGTAAATGTTTTCACTGAGTATCCTATACACTGATGATAATAATGTAATACCTCTACATTCTTACATTCCAGTATATTTCTTTTTGTGTATTGGGATTAATAGAGAAATTTTCCATTCAGTATATTTTCGTCATCGCATATTTTTGCAATTAATTCATACATCTGTTCTACCATTATGTTACCACCATTCTTAATCAGTTCAGATGATATATTACCTATCCCTGGAGCCCTATTATTATTATTTAAGGACTTTACACTCTCTTTCATTCAGCAAAAGATGATATGCTTTCTTCTCTTTCATGATTTGTGCTCGTTCTTAGCAAAATCAAGTCTATTTGGTAGTTCTGATCTATTCAGTAATTATTCAAAATAGTTTTTCCATCTGTCGATGATTTACTTTTTTTTTGTATTGATATCAACACCTTTAGTCATGGTTAGTCTTACCTGGTATCCTCCTCTTAGCATTTTCAAACCCCTACAACGTTAGCTGATTTTTCCACGATTCATATATTTCTCTGTTTCATCTAAATTGCCACTCAATATTTGTTTCTTCTTCTTCTTTACCTTAACAGTTTTGGCTTTCCTACATTTAACTTTTATATTCTTTTCTTTTTTCATTATTTCATTCGCTTATCAATTTAGCATTTTTTCCCTCTATAGTCTGCCGACATTCATCATTAAAACAATCTTCCTTTCTCTCTGGGCTGTTATATCCCAATACAACTTATTGCTTAATGCTGATTTCGAATTAATTTCCTTCAGATCTTCCTAATTCTGCGTGATTCTGCTTACCTCTTCAATTTCAATAATTCTAAGCATTTTGAATTTATTTCTCAATACCATTTAGAAATTTTCCTTCACTTGTTGGTTCTTCTATATGCCACTGGGGCAGATAATTCCAAATTACGTTACTGGATAGTTCTCAAATGTGTTTCTAAGGGACGGGTTTGTTCCAGTGCATCTATAGAGAATGGGTGACGAGATATTCCTTTTACTCGTCAGAACTTTATATAATATTAAGCAAACTCTGAATAGACGTACACCTTTTTTTGTGTCAGATGCTTTCGGGAATTCCACAACTCAAGAAAACCTTTACTAATCTTAAGCAGCTACATCTGACTTGTCTCTTTAAGAAGGTGTAAGTGTATTCAGAATTTTTCTAATGTATTATAAAGGTTCTGAAGAGAAAAAGAATGATTTGGTTTATGTTATTTGACAAAAGAGATTGTACCAATGCTTACATATGTATACATTTTTAATATAAGAATCGTACCAACGTTGTCTTTTCCGTATCGATTCACAGTCTGTAAACATCAAACATTTTAAATAGCCTTACAAGTCGTTTGTCATCTTTATGTTCTCGAAGTATTTCTTTATGCCCAATTTGTGTTATGTAAGTCTTAAAATAATCGAATGAAAACTAGACATATTCAGACAACTTTAAACAGTGTTGAAGGTAGCCTAAAAAAAAGAGGTTCGTCTGGTGTCGCTAAGAAGATATTCATGTCTGTGCTTCCAGTGGTGAACAGTAACTTCGTCGTTGATAAGGGTGAAATCTGTATTAATCTTAGAAGAATCAGACATTACTGTGTAATACTCTTCTATAGATAATACATACGTCAGCTGACTTTGTGTCTTCGGAAATACTGCAACAACACAAAAGTGAGTTTAGAAATAGTTTGGAATTTGCATTTGCAGACCATCTGGAACTTCCCTGCTTAAATTTTAATAAGGTATCTATACATCGTTTGAAAAGGTTAGAAAATCAAGACACACGGTAGTGTATCGTGCGGCCAAAACAACCTGCAGGACACACTGTGTTTTATTAACAGAAGTGACAGTTTAGTGGTTTTCCACTTTCTGTAGTTTAGACTATGGCAATCCAAACTATCAAATATTTTCAGTGGATGTGATCTACTGGACCCTTACTTTATGTACTAAATTTCAAGACAATCTATTAAGAAATACACGAGATATAAAATCTACAATTTTAATTGAATTTTTTCCTTTTTATTTTATGTTATTTTTTGATTCGCACCGTAAATACGGAAATTTATTTGATAGAAAAACATACTTAAATTTTATGGATTTTTTTCAAATTTATAACACTGATAGATATTTACAACCTACAATTAGGTGTCGAATTGGGTCTAAATATAAATATTTTAAATATTGATTATCTGGTATCCATACTGAAGAACGTTCTTAACTTCTTCTGTCATTGAAATTCCAATAAAACTTCATCCGAGTCCAGGCATGGGGGTAGTGATGTTTCTTCTACACAGGTTTTACGTGGAGGAAAAGTTAATTTTCCATAACTTGTTAATGAAAGAATTGGATGTCAGAGTTTCTTTGGGGGTAATATATTGCAGCTGACAAATCCAAAATAAAAATTTAATCAGAAATACCTGTAGTTATCATAACTGGATGTCCAACAGGGTATTTAATGGTCGAAGGTTAGAGTTACGTTGACATATTTTCCGTCCTTTACGTCACACAAGAGTGATGCTTTGGCTCTGCTTCCATGGAAAGCATCACGAACATCAAGACAAGGAACTATTTCATAACCATTGAGGAAATGCTTTGAATCAACATTAGTTTGTTTATTATTATTATTGTGTTAAAATCGTGTTCCCAGATAATGATAGTTTGGTATCAGAGTGCTTCAAATTGTCTCTCTCTCTCTCCTGGGTTTGTTTTTTATGTCCCATATTGGTCTATTTAAAACAACGTTACTCTATAAAACACATTGAGCT